TTCCTGTTCTTAAAGGCAGAATGATCGTGGTTATTTTATAGGGTTAAAAAGTTATTGAGTCTTCCTGTAAAATCGCAGTGTAGAATTTGTTGTGAACAAAATAGAGCTGACTACATTACTGTAGCAGAATAACTTCCAGCCAGAATTGAATTACATTCTTAAAATCTATTTTTGACAATGTTTTCAGAAATAGGCTGCCGTAGCTTGATTTTTGTCCTACATGTTTTTGAACTGTAGGGAAAAACTGACATTAGCATGTTAATGCAGTTGTATCGTATGAATATGTAATACAAACATGTTTCATAAAAACCCAGTTTAAGTTACTGTGTTGAACCACTCAATATAGCTGGATTATTTTCAAGATTCTCTGTAAATTCCTGATCACAAGGTAATTCGAACAAAGAATTCTCACAGACTTTTCTTGGAAGCCCATGCAGGATTAATCTAAACAGGAGGTACAATAGAAAGCTCCACTTTATTATAGGACCAGAGTTTATCCATTGACTTCAGCACCCTTCAGAGTGTAAAGCACGAGTTCTTCTTTTCTTGTCTAAACTATTTTGAATGAGGTCTCTTTTACATGCTAGTTTGGCAAGCTTCTAAGGCATTTGTGCAAAGTGATGATCCAAGAGCAACCTGATTCAATACTGAGAAATTCATAAATAACATCCAGCAGTAATTAAAGTGAAAAACTACAACTAAGAAAATCAATCTCCTACAGTATCAGTTGAGCTGCTATACCTTGCAGTGTTAGAAGTGGAGCAGTGTTAGAAGTGGTACCTTCAACTCGGGAGGCATCATTGTGAATTTTAAACACACCAAGGATTCATTCTGATTTCTTTACATAGATTGCATTGGAAAAATGATGACTGAAAAACCATGAATATATGATAGCTGTAGATAGAGAAAGGGTAAGAGTGGAAAAAAAACCACAGCACCAGAAATTACCATCTGGAAACATACTAAACATTCAGTCAGTATATTTGTATTAAAATGAAGAGTTAATTTTGAAGACCAGAAAGGTTTGAAGATAACTTAGTGCACTCTATAAGGCCATTCTCAGGAGTCAAGTGTATAATCATCTAAGACAGGGATATTTAGAACTTCAGATTGAAAAACTGGAAGAGCCAGCTGGTGTTTTTACCATCTTGATGAGAGTGCATTCTCATCACTCTTTCCAGTAAGTACATGTTAAACTCACAAAAAAAAAAAACTCTATAAATTTTCTGGATTTTTTTCTTAGATTAGGGTTAACTTGAAGGTAACAGAAATTAATTGTTCAGTTTTTATGTGTGCAAATCTTAACAAAGTAGTAGAATTTAGGTAGCTGGTAGTATAGCAAGTAATGAATAGGTCTTAAAAATAGCATTTGGAGGCTTTTCTACTTGCTTCTCAAGCTCTCTTCTAAACCACCAGCACAGCTTGTATTTACTGGGAGGAATACCTGACCCTACATTGGGTAAAACCTAAATCTGTTTCTGTTAGCGTACATCTAACCATCGTGCTGTAGCACATAATCCTTGCCTTTCTGGTCTTCAAACAAGAGGTGAGAGTAGTTGTGGATCCTAGTTCATGCTTCAGGCAGAAAAAGTAGCTGGCCCAAAACAACTTGAGACTTCACATGCAAGATCTGGAAAGTAGCCACTGTGTGACATTTGGACTTCAACCTGTGCTTACAGGAATTTCTGTGATTATGGTTTTGATAGCAGCCAGATGCTGAGAGAATTCAGATTTACTATCTTGGCAGGACAGAATAATTCAACTGTGTTGTAGATTATTGGATAAAGAAGCCAGGAGTAAATTATGAAATTTAGTCCTTGAACTGGGATTGGATAAAAACGCTCCAGTTTAGATGTGCTTGTGGTTTGGACCAACATCTTGCAGTCAGTTTTTGTTTTTTTGTGACTCTAGTTTTATGTACTAAACTGTAAACATCACGGTATCTTCTTACTTAGGAAGTTTGCTCTATGCCTCAGGACTAGATACAGGATCTTTAGCAGGACTTCAGGTGAGGAACAATTAAACAAAAACTTGTATGAATAAGGCACTAGTAAATGTTTGCAGCAAACAACGATTACAGTCTATATTCTTTAAGAATAAAACTGTTCTGTTTAGGAAATTGCCTTTAATATGACAGAGTTACCAATACCAGTTAGAAGGGCCTAGAGAAAGTGCATCTTTTGGGTTATGCCTGTGAGGTCTGTGAGAACCCCCTAAATTTAACTCCCTGTTAAATTAGGAAATAGCCTGTGCAGCGGTGATACTCAGGAGTTTGGAAGCAAAAGGAAACTAGTTTAGATTCTGACTCCTGCTAAACTAGTGTGAAATCACTGTAATGGATTTGCTTCCAATTTATTACAGTGGTAGAAGAATCTGAAGCCAAAATTGAGGCTATTTTAGCAAATCTGGTTAAACAGCAACAGCACTGGCCCAGGCCAAAGAATTGGCAATAATCCCCTTATACGGTTTCAAAAAATAATCTGGTATTTTAAATTTTTTTCTATTTGCTGAAGTTCAAGGATGCACTTTGTCTTTTGGCTAATGTAATAGGTCAAGGCCTTATGTACTACTTTGGAGCTGACGCCATTCTAAACAGTTATTACAGTATTGATCAATACTTTATACCAAATGAAATTTGAGTCTGCCGTTCCATTTACAGGATGGCTGGCCAGTATTTTGTGTTGAAAGTTGTTCAAAACCACCCAAATTCTTCCATTCATAAAACCAAAACATACTGCCACTTTTAAAAAATACTTTTATGTATCTGCTCTTTGAGGAGGGTCATTGAAGCACCAAGAATCTGTTTATCTAGCCAATAAGAAAATATTTGGAAATGCACAGATCTTGTTAGTAGTCATGATCTGCATTTTCCTAGGATCTGTCCAGTAAAACTATTTTAACAATCATTTGTTATACTAAAGCAGTCAATAGCCAGTCTGATTTCATCAATAAATCCTGCTTTGTAAACAGCTTTGCTTTATCGTCTGACAAATTTGTGTTCCACTCAGATCCTCCATTTTTTATACAAGATGTTATTAAAACAAGCTAACACATTTGCAGTATCCATAATGCAAGAGGGGGAAAAAAACCCCTACATTGATTGATTATTGTATATTATTGCCATTAGGTGCTACAATTAACAACTCCAGGCAGTGAGGTTTTTTTGTTTGCATGAATTATTTTGTGGTTTATGTAAGGTCATGGTATTAAGTTTATCTCAAACTTTAAGATCACCTATCCATAGGGACCTCAGAAACTGTACAACTATCTCAACCAGCTTTTAAAAATCTGGTGGGCTTTTTGTTTGTTAATTTTGTGGGTTTTTGCCTCACAAGACTGAAGTTTTTGGTGGTACAACTCAGCTGACATTTTCATCAGCAATTAATCTGGACTAATATTAATTTCTTAAACAAAACAAAAAATCCACAACAAATAAGTTAAATTCTGGGAACATCTCTCCCATACATGCTATACATACTCTAAATTAAATACAGAAGGAAGAAAATCCAGAAATTTCTCCTCACAAAGATCTTTCCTCATAGCAACACAGGAAACCTTTTTCTTTTATAACACTTGTTTTTTATCAGTATGTCAGATTATATGCTTTTCTGTGTGTGTGTGAGACTAATACATGCCATGTGTTTGTCTGAATATCAGAAAATGTTATTGACTATTAGAGTTGTGCAAAATATTTTCTGTAAAAGTTGACAATATTAAAAAGTTTTTTATCATTATTTTCATAAGATGATGTAAATCTTTGCAATTGCAAAATAAACAAAAAATCTTTGTCAAAAGTGTGCCTTTTGGGGTCATAATTAGTCTTGTGGGGTATTTCTAGCTGATAAGAAATTCTAATAAATTAACATATGCACAACTTCAAATTAAGCTGTACTCACTGTGAAATAAATCTGAATTTTTTTACCTTATAAGTGTAAGCTATGTTTTGAATGTCAAGGTGGGTTTTTAACTTCTTCATAAAATTAAACTAATACATTGGAATGTGGTTGGGTTTTTTTCTCTTTTTGCCCTCTGCTTTTGAAGTGTGCCTTCAGGAGATGAGAAGAAAAGTCATCATTTTGGAAAAGGTTCTGTGAATATTTAACAAAATGCAGAATGCAGTTTGCTTTCATGGCTGTGTTTCTTCAACGGAAGCAGAGGCATAGTAGTGAAACATTTTTATTATGAAACTATGCTATTACATCTCTGACTGGAGAAAAATCTGTCATCAAACATTTGTGTGTATTTCTTCATAGAGTAAATTCACACTTTTATAGAACAGTTGCTTCTTGGTGTAACTTAGTTTTGATTATAGAGGCACACTTTTGACACCAACTAAAACTGTGGTCTAAATAAAGGCATTACTTTCTGTCCATGCAGGTGTATTTACCTATATGGATGACATTTTAACAAAAAAATGTCACTTCACAATTTTTATTTGCAAATTCTTCAGGTGTAAAAACCAACAACATTACTGTATGATCATTTAACAACAATTATTGCATGATTTTGCATAACCCTTGGCCTTTCTAAAAAGCAGTATTTGATTTTGAGATGTGCATTGGTTTAATAATGAGTCATCATGTATCTGCTGACTCACACATGATAAATATTTAACTTGGGGAAGAAATTTTGTTCAGATTACAAAAACGTAAAAAAAATCAGTTCTAGGTTTTAGCTATTAACCCAGAGATTTTCACTGTTAGATGAAATGCATGTAATTGGAAATAACTATTCTGTTGAAAGTAATCCACAGTACTTTGATAAAAAATCTGAGAGGCTTTAGGGAATATGACAAACTTCATGAGGCCAACCCCAACCCCTCAAAAATTTCTCATACTGTTAGGAGATGAAAGAATTACCAGTCCTGTAACTGCAATGTATTTTAAGGCTAGTTAGAAGACATGGAATAGTGATACTCAAAGTAAATGCTCAAAACCAGTAAGTATTTTTATGACAGAGTAGTTATTTGAAGGGAATTATTTATATGGGTGAAACTTTGCTAATTCCTTTACATTTTCTATTACAGTAAACCTACCATCCATCTGAATGTCAATAATAACTGATCTTAGAATGCCATTTCATAGCTCGAATCTTCATTTTGCCCCAAGGTTTGCTCTAGCCAGGTTGGCAATTGGGGAAAGTCCTAAAACAGAAACATTGACACATGCTGATAAATTCAAATGTGGAACATTAAAATTTACATGGAAGCAGAAATGACATTCAGTGTCAGAAGTAAGAAATTTGAAAGTCTTAAATAATCCATATAGAGAATATAGGTTAGACAGATTTAATATAAGTGTGCTTTTCCTAAAAACACCCCCCCAAACCAAACTTCTTTTTTTTTTTTCTTTTTCTTTAAGTCTTTTGTCTGTAAATATGAAAGAAGGCTACACCCCAACATAATTCTTCATTGCCATACTAAACGGTAAAATAGTCTTTCTAATTCACATTGCTCATGGAAGTCTTATTTGAAGTTCCTTTATTGAGTTTGTGGTTAAAGCAGTTTGGGATTTTTGTTGGTTGTAAACTTTTGGCATAATGTGAATACCAGTCCCTTTCAAAAACAGCCTTGAGTTGCTTAATGATGCTTGTGCTGTTCCCCGCGTCTGCTTGGTTGATAACAAGGCCAGCTCCAGCATTCTGCGTAAAAGCATTTCCTACCCAATCAAAATTACCTGCAAGCAAAGGCAGGAATAAACAGTGAGTTTCTAACATTAAAAAAAGAACCAAATAAAAATCCAATCTCCCTAAAGGCAATCCAGAATGAAACACTACCATTTTCCCCAGTGCAGAGATGAAAAAAAGCTCCGATACATACCATGTGTAGTGAAGATTGTTTCTGGAAGTTTTAACACTTTTAAGTCTTCAGAAGTGAAAACATGTTCTTCTATTTATTCAAAACCAATTTGCTCTTCTTTTTACATCTATTACATTATTACTCCATTTACTTTCCTCAATGGCCTTTTCAGTGCTAAAAATGAATTTAATTTTTTTTTTCTGTATAAACAATTCAGAGTTCCAAACCAGAAGATATTTTAGAACTTACCTGTTGACAGATACTATTTGAGGAAAGAAAAATCGATTTTACTGGTTTATGCCAGTTATTAAAATCTTTGTGGAAATCTAAGGTAACAAATAAGCACTTTGAATCCTGGGGACAGCAGGGCAAAAAGGTTAATTGGACTAATGGAAAACAAGTAAATCAAGTGCTTCAGCTACTTTTTTTTTATTTCAGTAAAACTGTAAGTATTTTAAATTATACAATTAAAACACACGAAGTATTCTGGACAAAAAAGGCTGTTACTTCAGCAGGAACGTTAAGAATTTTAAAGTTATCAAGGATGGTAAATTGAAACCTCATCACAAGGGATAATTTTTCATCTGCTTTCAAGTAAAAAAAAATCTTTTGTGAGGTGCCACACAGCAATTTTACTTAAATACACTTTTAACCCAAAATACCAGTTAGATACGTACCTAATGTTAGGAGGGTGGCTGGAATGTCATTATAGGAAACGGAGTTAGGCTTTGGATGATGAGGATGAAGAGCATCTGTACAGTATTTGCCAGGACTGACCATAGCTTTAGTAATAACATGGGGAAAGAACACTCCATCTTCATTGGATTGCAGAACAAGAGAATTTGCTAATAATTATATATGCTTCATAAATTGTGTTATATTTGTGTTTTCAGTCTGTTTTGATTTACTGAAAGCAGAATGTTGGTCTTGAGAAACTGATTCAGAGGGAAAAAAAGGTTTTAAATGAACAAAGTCTCAAAGTTCAGTCATCATCCAGGTTCCCAAAGAAATTAACTATTATCTTCACTTAAGGAACATATCAGCTGTAGATGGCTCATCTACAAAAGGTTGTTATTTCAGCATACAAACTAGAATTTCTTGAGATGTGGTTACTTACCAATGTAGGCCGCTCCATCAGTCACCATGTATTTGTTACGATTCAATTTGGGAAGCGAAGTGTTCTTCTGTTCTTTAAGGAAGCAGGCACTCTCTTCCTCAAGGTCAAAGAATTTCTGCCATAAAATAGAAGGAGGCACAGGTTAATGAGAATTGCTCTGTAAGAGACAGAAAAAATACAGTCTGTTCTCTAATCTTTATTGAAAATGAGTTGGTACTACAGAAGAGCTTGAGTGTTTATTGCCAAGCATTAACTTTAATAAAATGCTGCACGTATTTCTAATTCAATTCTCATAGTTTGTGATCCTCCTGCCTTGGCATTCTGAACTATACAAAGTATATGGCTACTGCATGCTAAAAGCAATACAGTGCCAGGTAGTAAAGGCTATAAAAATGAAAAAAAACCAAACATCTTTCTGTTCTCCATGGTAAGAGCCAGGAACTTTAACTCATTTCCTCATTTTTCAAGGGACACTGGGGTTTGAAGTCTGCTTCAGGATTGGGACCAGCAGACACAACAACAGCTGAATTAATACCTCTGCAATCACACATTGCATAGTTTCCAACAGGAAACTTACCATTTCAGAAATTTAGAAGCTTCCCAGGATTGAATTTGGTATTAAGAGATCAAATTTTCCAGGCAACAAGAGGAAAATGTTTTACCCTGGAGAGTGAAGTATGAGCAAGATTTATTTATTTGTTTATTTATCATTTTAGAGTTATATGCACTCCTCATCAGTAACAGACAAAAATAAGCAAGAATATACCTGCACAACTCAAAAATAGATTCATGTGGACGCTCAAGAATAACTTGATAGATGTTCCTTGCCATTTTTTTGTGTTTTCCAGTTGTCTAGAGACAGTTTTGTTCTAGGTCATAACTTCTGCAGGCCCTTTCAAAGCACACACCTTTTTCTGCTCAGCACTGCACCCAACAGAGCTGGCCCCTTCCTGCTGCTCCTTTCAGAGTTAGAGCAGGCATTTGTGCACACAAGATTCATTTACAGGGTCAAGTACACAAAACTTAAGGAATACAGGAATTAAGGTCCCAAGAAGCACAATGGTGAGCTCTTCACCTTGAGTCTGCCCTTTCTGATTCAAGCTTTAATTTCATGAGCACATGTGCATAGGAGAGCTCCCTGCTTCAGCAGCAGTTTGATATGCAGGTTACTCCTTGCCCTTTGGCTGTGTGCTTATAGCCTTTAGTTAGTCCTCAAACAAAGCTTTCTAGGTGCAGGTTCTTCCAGTGATCATGTTCTTCAGAGTATTTGTACTGAGTTTGCATTCTCAAAACAGTTTCAGTTGAAAACAGTAATTATTAATGCCTCTGTGCATGGGACTTGGAGATGCTGAAAGTGCCAGGTGTAACAGGGTTACAGTGCCCTAACCTATACTTGCAGTAAGGCAATACCAAAACTTGCATTAGCCTGGTCAGTAACCAGGAGAAACCAGGAGGAGATTCCCATCCAACAGAGAAATTACATTTGCATCTCCTTCTCCAGGATGACCATTGGCAAACCAGCTGCAGCCAGCCATTGGCACTCACTGGGAACTTTCAAGCCAAACTGGCCTTTCCATAGGGATAAGGAAAAAAAAAAAGGAAAACAATCAAGACAAGGCATATCACAAGGATCAAAAGCTAAATGAAAAATAAGAAGTTACTGAGTATGCTTTGTAGGATGTATTATCCCCAAAAGAACAGGACAACAGGGGGATAGGTGCAGATGTGTGTGGCATTTTGGTCAGAACCATATAGAGGTATTGTGACAGCCTAGCAATTTTAAGTGTAATTTCAATCAGAATTTGTAACAGGTTTCTCTTAAAATTGCAGTGGTTTTGTATATAAACACACATAATACAAGTCTGCAAGACAGTTTTTTTTGTACTGAGGTTAGTTTATGTTTTCTCACTGCCAAAGCAGAACCAAGAGGGAAAAGGAATGTTTTCAATAGTTAAAAGTTAGTTTTTTACTTTTTTAACCTATTCTTTCTCCTCCGTACACACACATAGTTTTGTTTCACTTTGACCCTGGCTATAACAGATGAATACAGAAGAAATGCAGCTTTAAAAAGCAGTTGCTCATCTGACATGCATTTTTAATTAAAAGAGTATTGAGATGGAGCCCATGGCACTGTTTTCAGCCAAAATCAAATTGATACCAGCAAACTCTGACCCTTGGGCTATTACAAATACCAAGGTTTATTTAAGACAGTGGTTCCATTTCCCAGACTGGGAAATGTGATGCACAGCACAGAGATAACTGACATAGTGTTGTATCTTTACAACTCTCTACAGCTGATTTTTTTACTGAAAGTTGGTTTTGTTTTTTCTAACTGCAGAGATTCTAGCTGGACTATTCACCTAGAACAGATGTTGAGGAGTAGTTTTTTTCCTTTTATCATTTAGTTCTTGACAAGATAAATTCTGTACAAAAGATTTTACCTGCTGTAAATAGATGGCAATGAATATATGTATTAGGTACCACTTGCAAAAAAAATTTTGAATATGTAAATAGAATTTTGATGATAAATATGGAAAAAGCTAGAACTTACTTAAAATTGAAGTGGCTTAAACAGAGCTATGTATGGGTTTTTTTGACTTAAAGCCACACTTTAGGCTGCTTTTTTACTGAGGAAATTTATAATAATAACATACATTATAACAAAAAACTCTATTTCTAGATATCCCTAATGCATTTATTGTGTGTATAAGAAATAGTACTTCCTTTTTAGAATTGTTGTCAATTTTCAAAAAGCCAGAAGGATTTATGGGATTATTAATTTAGGAAATCAACATAATCCAGCAGATTATTTAGAAGTGTTACCTAAAAAACACAAAACAAAACCAAAAAACCCCACAAATCCACCCCACCAGGATCCAAGGTGCCTGATTTCTAGTGTGCCTCAATTTCATAAAAGTGACGTGTGTCACACTGGAAGTAGCAATTACCATACATTCTGTTCTCTAATGCATTTGTATGGTATTTCTCACTTTCCTGTGCTGCATGTCTAATGTGGCCCCAGAGTGGCGTTTCTGGTCTTCACAGTTTTCATTTTGTAGTCTGAATTTAATGTAAAATCTTCATTATTTTTTCCTGTACTTTTCACTTGACTGAAGAAAAAGTAGATGCTTACACAGCTTAACAGGAAGGTAATGAGAATGCAGACTAAATCACATTTTTGTGCTGTCAGATTGACTCTTATCTCACAGTATAAACATGAGCAGTGGCTACAGTTCACTCTGTGGGTTTTGCTGTGAGAGACCACATGTGGTGTTTTGCACAGGCTGTCCACCACACTGACTGTCTTTTGGCACCTATCTATTTTTCTGACTTAATTTTGAGTTCTGTTACTACAAGGAGTAAATTATGTTCAATATCTTACATTTCCTGATATTTAATGGAATTTAAAGACTTTGATAATAACATAAAAAATTCTCAGTTGTTATTTTTTCTTGATTCTTTTTTTTGGGGGGGGGGGTGGGAAATATCTTATATTTTAAAGCAATATGGATTATACTTACAACTTTCAAACTACAGCTTGGAACTTCAGTGCAAATAGCTTTCAGAGATGAAACAAAGTTAAAAGTAAGGGGATCTGTGTCTCTTGAGAAACTTATGAGAAGTCGTACTTTGATACTTCGTAAAACTAATGCTTCTCTTATCTTCCCATCTAAATACGGCCAGTACCTGCAGAGAAAGAAGAGAACATTTGCCGAGAACTTTAAAACATGTGGGAGAGCCGCAGGCAGAGGGCGCTGCTGGCCAGCCCAGGCACGGCCACCCAGGATTTCCCTGATGGCACAGGTCAGGGAACTGGGACGCCGCATCTCTCCCTGGCTGACATCCCTTGTTTAACCCCTCCGCACTGGGACAGCGCAGGCTGGGGACTGGAATGCCTTCTGCAATTTCTCCTTGGGAAACAGAGCTGCTGTGCAGGGTGCCTGCATCCTTCAGGAGCAGCAGGCGAGATGGGTTGCTTAAGGAGGATGCTATGTGATGAGGATTGCAGGAATTCTGCCAGGAATGGGATGGTGGCTTCCATGGTGATATTCTCACAATTGATAGTTAGATTTGTATTCCTGACATTTAGTGGGAGTAGGTTAGGGCAGGGAGAATTAAACAAAGAAAAATGCATGTTTTCTACATTCCAGTAGCATCAAGACATCTGGGCTAATGAAATCTGAGCTCTACCATGCCAGAAGATAAATTAGAAGCATGAACTGGGAGCTGGCAAGGCAGAAAAGCTGGGGCAGTGCCTTGAACACAAAGCCATGATGAAGGAAAAATGTTGAAGAATTCACACTGGTGGCTTTCCTGGATGTCCCTAATCCAGTAGAGAGAATAAAGTAAGGAGGAGCCCAGGAGATAACATACAACACTGTAGTGGTTCTACATACTAAGATGCTTTCCAACATAAAGAAGAAGTAGGAGGGATACATATAGTGAGACTGAGGTTCCTACAGCGCTGCCCATGATTCTTTCCCTGTGATGGAGGCTGTACATAACGAGTTTATTGGAAAAACTCTCTCATAGACTTAGAGCAGTTTATGCTTGTTATCAGTAATATGATAATTATTTTTTGAAAAATTTGAACAGAACAGGTCTAAATAGAAAAGAGTACATAACCACATGCTTAGTTTGGCCTAACTGTGTTCAAATAAAATGCATAGATGGAATAGCAGGCTTTGCTAGATTCTAAATTCATTGTGAGCATTATCAAAAGTAGGAGGGACCAGTGGATACTTGCCTCCTGAGCAGGATGGTTTTGAGGCACTCTGGCTCCAGTGTTGGGCCCATGAATGGTTTTTAATGGTCCATACACACTGGCTGTTTGAAAAAATTGTGGTTTTGTTTGGTTTTAGCACCTCTCAGTTAACCAAACTGTGATATCATTCAAATATAATCTATTCTGAACTGGGAATTTTCATTTATATGTGTATGCCAGTAAGATAATGACATTTCCCACACTGTATACAAGTCACCACACATTATTTCTCTCCTAACACACACACGCTTTGTCATGTTGAATATCTGCATGATACTCATAATATGCCAGTAGTTGTGGTCTCAGAATAGTCAATATAATAGTGTAAGAAATAGGATTTGTGTATAAGCAGACTGTTATATTCCTGGGTCCCAGTCAACATTCAGATGGTCAGACTAGACAATTTCTGATCTCCTTCAACAGACAGATCCAAATCTTAGGACCCAGAACTGGAAATGTCCTCTTAGGTCCCAATTCTGCTCCCATTTAAGTCAATGGCAGGACTCTCACTGATTTCAATAAGAGCAGAATTGGGCCACAAGAAAAGGGTGCACAATAGTAACTAACCTCCTGTGGGTTCATTTTCCCCAGCAGACCCCACTGGCATTATGGTAACCAGCTGGGCCTGGGCCTGGGCACTCACCGTTTGGCGTTGGTGTCGATGACAATGGGCAAATAGTCCATGACAGCAATGTACACAAACTGCTTGGCATCATCAATAACACTGTAGATAGCTTCGATATCCAGGACTCTGTCCTTGGGGCAGAAGAGTTTAGGTGAGTTCTGTGAAAGGAAAAGTTCAAATATGGTATTAAAAATGATTTATTTTCTCTCCCCCTCAGTCTTCTTGAGATGAGAAGTAGTATCCATTATTTTAGCAGAGATTATTAACTAATACCTTCAGCTGTCTTGCTAGAATACTCAAAGCTACAAAGGCAAGCTACTTGCTTACTTGGCCCTCATTTAGGTGTACACATTTAGGTGTAACTGTGGGTAAAATGCAAGACACAGACTTCAAAACATCCACTGTCATGAAAGAAGCTGTAATTGAAGTTACATTTCAGAGAACTTTGTTCCAAAGAGCCCCAGGACTGGTTTCTATTGGATAAAGTGTTCATATGTTCTTGCCACATGAGTATGATCCTTCACTTGTGAGCAGGAATTAAGTGTTTTATGTCAGTTACAGGGAGACACTGCAGTTTTGTAAGAAACTTATCTTTAAAACAAAGCTCCACCAGAACAGAGCTGCTACAAGCCCAGATTGCAGCTTTTCTGCCTCCTGCCTGGGGCTGTTGAAGGCAAGGTGAAGCCAGTGGAAATTGCTCATCTGAGGCAGACATGTCCAGGACTTTCTACTCTGCTGCACAAGCAGGGAGAGAAAAGTGAACCCCCCTTTCAAGTTGCTTGCAGGTAACAACTTCATTCCTGGGACAAAGGCTGTCGAAGGCACCTTAACCCAGCTGGAACAGGTGTTTTCCTGCCACTGTATCACCTTCTCACCTTTGTTACTTGCTTGGGTTGCAGCTGACATCCAGATGGGCATCTTTCCTTTAGGGAAAGATCCCAGGGGTTTTATTAGTCTTCCTTAATTTCAGCCTGTCACAGTGGTTTCTTTTTACTAATTGGTTAAGGATTTACTACAACTAAGTACAGAAAATACTAGAAAATTAACAATAGCAAGATTTCAAGACCAATATTCCAGATCCATTCCTGAACACTAAAAAAGCAAAACCTCTTATACTTTATCAGCCAGTCTGAAAGATGAGTTTGTTGCTAAGCAACACTAAGCTATGATTCCCAAGTATAACAAAAAAATTCAATGACTGTGTATGGCGCTTGTTTTATATAGCACAAACAAGTTTTTAAAAAACTAATTTCAGCTCAAGAAAAAAGAGTAAAGTGATTTAAATATGGTTAAAATATTAAATATAACTTATTTCAATTATCTGACACTTTTTGGAGGTTATTGCTCCGAGATGTTATTCTTATCACTTGTATTATTTTCCTGAACTTTTAAGTTACAGAACAGCCGAAGAAAGAAATTGTCATGCATTTGTCTTCTTTGGATGCGCTCAATACAAATATTTATTTACATCTGAAAGTGAAAGACTTCATGAAGATAATTAGGAGAAAAGTCTCAGTAAAAACTCAGTGTAGCACTGTGCTTTGGCATTCCACTTGTTACTCTGTGGCACAGCTGATCCCTGCCCCGCAGCCATGGACTGGCTTAGGACTTGTCTCCATGCTGTGTAGCACTTGCTGTACTGATCAAGTACCCACTTGTTCCTCCTTTTCACCTACCAGGAACAGGCCTTTATTGTGGTTTGGAATGTCTGGAATAACCTTTCCATACCCCTGCTGGGGGGGTGTGCTATCCCAAACCCACAGGGAGGCAGCAGCCTGTTTCTGCCCCAGGCAGGACTGCCACGGCATCAAGGGAACTGCCTGGCTCCTGGGAACCTCCTTCTGATCATTAGTTCAGGAACACACAGCAGCATTAACACTTGGTCCACCAGCCAGTCCCAAGCAGCTCCAGTTCTGCACTTAAGAGGGGCATGTCAGCCCAAGTGGTTGTGGATACAAATTCAGTTAGCTCTTGGAGTTGGACTTCAGTGATCTGAGCTTCTGAGTACCACTGAGTCCTTCTTTTTGTTTTCTAAAGTGAAGTGCCAAGAGAAGAGGCTTCCATGCCTACAGGAAAGGAAAAAAATCACAGAGGAAGGGAACACTCTGCAAACTGAAAAAAAAGGTATAGTGTCTCTCCATCTGCCTTTGTCTAGGATCCCAGATTCCTTAAACTGGGCCTTAACCAGCTTTCAATTATGTGTTCCCCTCTAGGATCAACTTTCAGCAGGATTTCTCCATTTCTTACAGATTTCTTAGAAAGGAGTAGGATTTCATTTCACAGTGCATTAACAAATTGTCCAAAATTCTGTCTCTCATATAAAGTAGTCCTTAAGATTCTCCAGAATCAATGGAAGTGTCCATTTTTTCAAACCACTATTAATTCTGGCTGTCTTAGGCACTTCCACACTTTTACTCCAAAAGAGTCTGCTGTCTATCCACTGATTGTAAGAGTAGGAAAAATCCTGGACAGCAGAACATTGCCTGGTGCCCAGCAGGTGAAGGGGAACCCTGCCCTGTATAACCACTCCTCTGCACTGTCTGATGCCAGTGGCTGTACAACTTAATAGTGGGCTATGTGACATAACATGGCTATAAAGCAACGGTGGTTTTGCCCTTGTTATAGAGAATGGAAAAATAGTCTCAGCAACTTTATTTATATTCCTGATTTTGAAAGGGTGGTTTTACCCCCAAAATTAATAACCCCCAATGTAATTACCCCCAAAATTAATAACACTCCACATCTTCCATCATCTCTCTCACTGGGTACTTTTTTCCAGTTTTGCTACATCACTGATGAGATGGAGGACTCCATTTCTTTCCATTAAAAATACAGACACGGACAGTGCTTCCATGGGGATAAGTGCTTGGATTTTAGAAGTTTTAAAATGTCATTTAAAAATAAAGCTGAAGTAGATGACCTTGTACAGAAGTATGAATGCTTTGCAATAGGGTGAATCCTTATAAATTACATTGATAAAAATGCAAGCTCTGCTTGTTCTGTATAATTTTCTATGTCTAATTCATGGTTCATTTACTCCCAAGTCATTCATATTCTACCTATTAGTATAAATAAAAGAATTTAATTTGAAGTGTCTCTGTATCGTTTTCTGAACATGACTGGAAAAGTGTTGAACATTGCAGAGAAAGGGAAATTGCATAATGCTCAAATGAAATCCTGGAGTATCTAAAGCCCTGGAAAATTGCATGTCATAAAAACCAGAATTAAAAAAAAAAATTGTGATTTTTTAAATTTCCAGGTCTTTCAAAGATCTTGTGGGTTAAGTACATTTCTTCCCTATCCTCCCCCCCAACCCCTGGAACTCCTTTCAGAACTTACCGACACAAAAGCTTCCGATTTTGTCTCATTCAGCTGCAGCGTCAGTTTATTTTGAGTATCGTACACTCCATAGAGTCTCTTAGACCAACTTGGAGGTACTTTATTCTTATACCTTAATGAGCTGTACAGGGCAAATATCCTTTGTAAATCCAGGACCAGGCAGCTACAGTTGTATACGATGACGCCAAGTTCCTTCATCTGTGAAATTAAAAGTTGGGTCATTAGTGATGTTTTCGCTGATGGATCTGTGGAAGAATGCAGCAAGAACACAAAAACCTCACCTTGGGTACCCCAGCTTTCTGGGTGTCAGTTTCTTCACATGTTAAAGGAGATATAGATGCTTTTCTCTCACAGAAAGTACTCTGTAAGCATCAACATTCTCACATATAAATTATGAGGAAAAATAGTCCAAGTAAATACAGACAGCAGAGTACAAGTAAATTCTTTAGCCTTCAACAGGCTAAAGTTCACAGTCCCACTTCTCATTTAGGTAAAGGCATGTCTCTTGATCATCATAAATCTTGTTTGGCAGAGATTTCATTAATTGTACACTCCTAATACCTAAGCTGCTGACAGAATTTTATGCTGAATGTATTGTCTGGCTTTTGTAATCAAAGCGTAACCACATGCTCACTCTCTTCCCTTCCTTTGCTTTAGAACAGCTCAAGAAAGGACTGGTGTGGGCCTGGATGCTATTGACCTCTCATTGCCTGTATTTAATAATACTTCAGCCATCTTCTAAAACAAAGCAAGAAGAAAATCTGCATGTATCTGTTGGAAAACCATATGTACAATAAATATTTAAAAGATCCATGCTGGTTTTCTGCAGGCAAACTCTCTTGGTAGCATGCCTGTGAAGTCTGCCTGGCATGAAGAAGAAAATAAGGGTAATATGAACTCTCCAGCATGCTTGCCCTTTCAATCCAAAATATTCCCACTGATGTTATTCCCTTAGATGAGATCTCCACAGTTACACAGACTACTTTCTGGTAAAAGCATATCTTTCTGTAAAGCCTGTGGGAACCCTGAACCCCGCACTGATGATATCTCAGAGCTTGTTCCAGTGCAATTCTCCCTGACTGCAGATGAGAACCTCTCTGCAGGAATGGGCAGAGGGAAAGTGAAGGATAGAATTGAACCTTGACTCCTTCTGTGGTGGGTGAACACCAGAACTGCAGTGAGAAGGAAATTCTATGGGTGACACATTCTTCGTGTCCCTGACCTGGAAATACCACATCCCTAAGAATACACAACACTGAGCTACCTCGTTCCTAAATATTTGCCAAATAGTTGTAACCACAGGAACAAGACTTAATCCTACTGCTACCTAAATCAGAATATTTCTGCAAGCTTCTTTAATCTGTTAGCCTGCACAACCTGAAATTTGCAGAGTTGGAAAAACACAAATACCGTACTCCAGTCTTTCATTTCTGGATAAGCCAGTAAATTAATTTTGGTGCTAAATGTAAATATGACCAACATCTTAGCTGAAGAATCTATTTGGAATAACATCTTTAATTTTTCCCCTGGGTACTGGTATCTTTGAAGATGCTCCTATATTCAGCTCTAGGCTGTCCCCATAGTCTGGGCACTATTTGTCTCCAAATATTTTTAACTGTACATTAGCACTGTTTTCACTGTGTGCTGCCAATACAGCTCTCTTAATTGCCAGGCATGCCATTGCAAAGGACTTGCTAATAGTACTCTGTTACATCTATCTGCATAATGTAGTTTAATCGGCTTTTCATGGCTGTTAGTTGATTCTGACATAATTATGTGGTTACAGTTTTCCTTTCATTTATCAGTCCCATTATTACCATTCCACTTTATCCATTCTATTAAACGTAAAGATAAAAGGGTCCTCACAGCACACCAGAAGCTGCCAGGATTGCATCTGCATGAGCAACTCTCTTTGCATCAGGAGTGACTGCAGTGCGTCCCCTCCCCGTGAATTAAGAGATTGCCCTTCTGCCTAAGTGGTTCCTCGTGTAGAGACAGGGAGGAAGCCAGGGGCACTAATGGGTTTTGTTAAATGCCACTTTCACAGCTCACCACCTAGCCGGAGTGCCAAAGGAAGCATCAGGCACGCCTTAGCGCCAGCCTCTCCCCAGGAGCCGGAGCGCACGGGAGCGCGGGGAGCGGAGCCTCCCCGGAGCTGCTGCGGAGCCGCGGGGATGCCCGGCTGGGGGCGGCCGCTCCCGCCCGCAGGGAACAGGCGCAAAGCACGGGCTGCAGTGAAGCCACCCAGAGATGCGGTTACAGCCAGTAATGAACGCTCCCTTCCCAAGGTGTTGCGTCTTGCAGCTGGCTTCTCAAAGCATTGATCAAAGCTTTTCCTGCTTCTGAAGCTTTTCCCCACGGGATTCCCTAATACATGATAGAGGCAGGGCTCCTCTCCCTCGCTGGGAAAACACAGATATCCTCTGCTGCCTGTTTCCATTAAGATTTTATAAACTTAAGTTCAAATTTAACTCAACTTGAACAGTAGATTCAAAGCTATAGGAAGAGGGCAACAGCAACTCTGATGCTTGTTGCGCAAACAGAATTTTCTTAAGAAACCGGTTTCGATGTCACTTTGTGACCCTCTCAGATTAAGGGTGATACATCCCCTTGAAATGCAAACAATGCATGTACATAATAAAACCCCACCAGTCCCCTTTCTTGTGTAACAGCCCCAGTAAGTTTGGAGGAAAAAAAAAAGTTTCAGAAGCACCTTCTACACTTGTCCTAGTTTTACTCCCATACTCTGAGGTGAGGAGAAGCTGCTCTTCTTCCTATTAATGATGAAGCTTTATAATCCTGGAGGCATAGGGGGCAGCAGGAATCTGGTAGTGACAGATTTAGTATGAAGTGGTATGACATCTAAATAAGGGAAAAGACCTTCTCTTCTGTTTGAGACTGCTGTCATTACAGACTTTTTTTTAGTAGTCTCAAGAGGAGAAGCAGAAAAAACCATCTATATTGTAAGAATCAAAATCTGAGTGTTGTTCCCTGACTTGTCATCATGGAAACCTTCAGCTAAGCATCATTTGAGGTATCTGTTAAGGTAAAACCCTTCAGGGCAGGAGCTCTTCAGGCAAAGGAAGTATTTCTCCATCCTACGTTTTAAGAGCAATTAATACAGTAATGAAAATGTCACTAAAAATTAAAGTGAAGATGATCTCAAAAAATCAAAAGCTTAATGAAACTAAGGAAGATAAATGTGAAATGAAAATACAGAGTCACAAATTGATTACTTCAAAATGGAACAAAAGTTTTTGGAAGATAAAGTTGTACAGTTGCTTGTGAGTGACATTTCCAGGGCATGTGCCAGGAACTGAGGAAAGGAATGGTTATCTGCACAGAGAATTTTCTGTTCTCTCTTGAGCAGATTTCTTCTCCTCTTTATAAAGAAATACCATGCATGCTCTAATAAAAGAATAGAAAATATAGGAGCTGGTTTTCCTTCTTTTCCCCCATGCCATTTACCTTTGTGTAGATCAACTCTTAAAGACTACGAAATTACTGCTTGACTTCCTTGCCAATAAGGGCTTTCTTAAAGCACCAGAAGAGTGAATAATTATACTTGGCTTAAGAAATATGGTTTCCTCCCACTGCACAGTGATACTCTAACTACAGAGCTCAGTTAAGCTATGAAAAGTAATAAATATGGCCTAGATAGAAAAATGGTAATTTTTATGACAAGAGGAGGAATTCCTTGCTAAATTGGACAAAAAGCAGCATTTCAAAAACAGGAATTTTAGCTTATTCTTTTTCCATGTGCATTCATAGGCATCCTATGCAAAAGGAAGAAAAAACATGGGAAAAGAGCCCGAACAATCCAGGCTGTGAACACAGAGCTCTGTAAGATTCCTACACTGAGAAACAGAGTTAGCAGGACGTTTCAGGTACGTTTGGGTCACAGGCCAGAGAGGGTGTTCCATGTGTCCTTACCCTGCGCTGTGCAGACCAGACAGCTCATTTTATATTTACCTTGAGCTCCACTCTGAGAGACAACCCCGCTGTGTAGGCAAGGTACTATTTGACCTACATAAGAGTGCCACAATCTGGTTCACAGCTTGCAGTATCTGAGTCGTGGCAAATGTAGCAGGAAGCTTTAGAAAACCCCTTGCTTAAAGAAAAAGTTTTTGGTAGTTGTTCACACCCAAACCTGATCCTGTAAACAACAGGCAGCTCTCCTCAGGCATGAATTACCATTTGCCCAAAAGATCCAGCCACTGGCAGATGCCAGGAATGCATTGCCCGTGCTACAGAAACTCTGGATTAACTACAGGTAGCCTATTGCACCCAAAATTTACTACAGTAGACTTTTGGCATACAGGATAGTGTATGCATCTGTCATTTGCCTGTGTTTGAAAATGTATTTAATTGTGCATTTGAGCCTCTGATTTTTTTAATGACAAATTTCTAAATGAATGACTGAGCAAAGCCAGAATCACAACAGGGTAAACTAATGCAGTAACAAAAAGCACTCCATACTGATAATCAATTACTAAAGCCTCAGATTTCAATAGCTTCTAAATAAAAGTAATATACAATGTATTCATTATCAGCTTAAGACAAATCACAGATATTTACACTGGTACACTAATCTTTTCATAAAATATGCTCTAATTATCCAGTTACCCAGAACTCCAAACATACTTTCTTTTTTATTATCAGGCTTACCTGATCCTTACTGCAGGCCTCCCTTATGTTTTCATGTGGTATCCTTTAATACTGAGTAAATATTTCCTTACCATACATAGCACCACTGAAGGCTGCCTCTGTGCAGGTATTCTTTACCTCTCTTTACCCATATGTGTGCCTATCCCATGCCAGGCACAGGTGACAGCTGAGGGGTGGCCTGTGGCAGCAGTGCAGGAGGAGAAGGGCATTCTGATAGGGTGGCCACCAACAGAGAGAGAGTCAGAGATTTGAGAAAGGTTAAGAAGCGTTTGTGCAGAGTTGTTTGCTGTGACTGCTGTAGCACACTTTGCTGAAGAGGCTGACAGGAGCAGTGCTCATCACAAATGCACTCAGGCAGCCCAGTTTTGATGTAAGCCAAACGTGCAATCTGATGCTGAACAGGCTGAGAAGGCTGTAGCACTGCCTGGGCCCTCTCCCACAAACCTCTGCAGCTGTTACAGTGCACCACAACAGCAAAAGGATGTGCCTCAGCTAACACTTCACTAGAAACTGCAACCTACCCTGACACT